GGGGGAATGTCCTGTGAGGTTTGGGGCTGACCCTCACTTGAGTCCAGCATTCCTGCAGTAGGAAAGAGATCCTGGCTTCCAATAAACCTGCCAGTCTGCTGGAGGGATGTCAAAGCACTGCTGTGTCTTACCCTGGGCAGGTGAAGGATTTCTTGTGGTGTCACCCCACCCCTCACTGAACTCTGAGCCAGACCCACACCCCACAGACAGTGCCCATGGGAGTCCAGCTCCAGGAGTGCCTGGATGCTGCACCCACTTTATTTATGTCCAGGTATTTTGGGGCCTGATGGGACACTGCTGGTGCCACTGGGGACTGGAAGAGGGCAGGAAAGTGTTGATCAGAGTAGAGGAAATTTCCAAATCCAGTATTTAAGGCATCAAATCTTGTTGTTAATTCAACAACAATTTTAGGGATGCTAGTTCCAACCTCCAGCTCTTCCTGAGTTCCTGTAGTTGGCAGCTTTGGTATCCTCCAGCCTCATTTTTATCCCTTTCTCCTGCCATGTTACCAAAGGTTGAGACTGCTCCTTAGAGACAGAGAGGAGGCCAAGCTCTGCAGGTGCACGAGATGTGTATTGCCATGTTTTTGCACTGAAATAAAGGAATGTATCAAACCTTGCTCTGCACTCCTTCCCTGGTCCTGTGGCCTCAGGGAGATGCTGTCGCTGGCGGTCTGAGGCTGCTCCCCCTGGGCTCCAGTCCTTCCATAAGGCTCCTGGAACATACCTCAGTGTGGTGGGGCATGAAATCAAAGCCATTTAGCAGATCTTAGCCAGTGTAGCTTCCTAAACTTGACCAGACCCACTGTAAGGGCTAGCAGTGGTATCCAGAGGGGAGTTCCCAGGGAAGGAGGGTGCCCCACGTCCTTCCAGGCCGAGGTGGAGGTCCTGTTGTCCTCAGTGTGCTCACAGCAGTTGGAGTGTTTCAGCCACTCCACTCTGCTCCTCTGGCAGTGCTGTTGTGTTGTGATGCTGTTGTGAGTCCCAGTGGTGGTTCCCTCTCATTTTGTGTATGATCTTGTGAATTTATTTGTTCCTCCCTTCCCTCTGCCAGTCTGAGTGACAGCAGCACACAGTAACTTATATTTCAGAGTAAATGATGTAAACCTTATCGTGTCTGTGTCCAGAACTATATTGATGAATAAATATCTGGTTTAATTGCACATTCAATGGATTCAATAAAAAGCACAACTCCTTGTGATGACCTGGGTGCCATCTGTGTCTGGTGCTGGTGTGTGTGAGGAGCAGAGCTGCTCCTGGGGTGCTCAGTGTGTGCCTGAGTGTGGATGGGTTGAATTTACCCCAGCCTGAAGAGCTGGCTCCTCTTACAGAAGTTTGTGAGAGGACTCTGCTCCAGCCCATTCTGGAGCTGTGTGGGCCCTGCAGTGCTCAGCAGGCCCCACGTGTGTCTGTGTGTGTGGGGTTATCCCACACCTGGGGAGGGCTGGAGAACCAGGGTGAGTGCTGGGTGTGACACCCGGCCCACTCCAACCTCTGTTCCAGGATCTCCATCTGAGATGTTTCCTGCAGGTGGCACAAGGGCAGCACCTTCCCAGCACCTGTGTGTTCTCTATGGCTCCTTCTGGCAGATTGGCTTTAAATCTATAATAAACAGACAATATTGCTTTTGATGTAAGGGCCAAATGCTTCACCCCCTTCCTTACCCTGTTTCATCTTGAACTTTGCAGAAATATGTTCCTGAAATGGAGCTGGGGCAGATTTGAAAGTGCTGGGGATGGGTTTTGGGGGCACTGTGTGGGGTGGGGGAAGGTTTGGGGCACCTGGGCAGACAGGGAGAGCTTCACCCCCAGAGCTGGGGAGTCCAGAACCCTCCATGGGCCAGGTTCTCTGGTTAGGTAGGACATGTCAGACACCCTGTCCATGCATGTGGATCCATGGGATGGCTTTGTGTGTAATTTGGGGATCAGGGCAAGAATACTGAGTGATTCTATATTTATTTTGCCCTTCAGACAGGTACATTTGAGAGCAGTGCAGTGGAAAATCGTGTGCACTTAAAAGCATTGCTAATGCGAGGGGGATGCTGCAGAAACACCCACAGAATTATTCATGGACAGGAGAAGATCTTTATATGGGAAAATTTGGACCTTGGTCTGTCCAAAGCATTGGGAGGTGATTCAGAGGCAGCCTGTGAGTACATGTAGGGAGTCTACAAAGTCTGAAACCTGTTTTGATCCTTTTCTTCATTTCATCTTCTGGCTCTGCACAAGTCCCTGGCAGGAGGGGACAGCCGGGGGGGTCGGGCTCTGCTCCCAGGGAACAGGGACAGGAGGAGAGGGAACGGCCTCAGGCTGGGCCAGGAGAGGTTTAGATGGAATATCAGGGAAAGTTTATTTGTGAACAGCTGTGCAGCCCTGGCACAGCTGCCCAGGGCAGGGGTGGAGTCCCCATCCCTGGAGGGGTTTAAAAGCTGTAGGGGTGTGGCACTTGGGGACAGGGGTCAGTGGTGGCCTCAGCAGTGCTGGGAATGGTTGGACTCAATGATCTGAAAGGTTTTTCCAACCTTAAGGGTTCCATGATTCTGTGCTGAATCTCAGTTGTGCACACTGTGCCCTGGCACTCCCTGAATCAAAATCTCAGCATTCAGCTGTAAAATCTCTTCCTTTTGCCATCATTGTCTTGATTCCTGTAACAGATACCCCTGCCCATGCCAGGGAGTTGGAACTATGTGACCCTTAAGGTCCTTTCCAACCCAAACCATTCTGGGATTCCCTGAATCCTGTGGCTGTCCCTGTCCATGAGCAGCTGGGTCATGACCCACTGCTCTGTAGCTGTTCAGCAGGACCCTCAGAGCCAAACCACACAAGCTGGCAAGTGCATATTTTTGAATTTTTACCTTTTCTTTAATGATGTACCACAAAAAATGGAAGTTGAAATATATTTTTCTCCAAATATATATATTTATATAATATATAATCTTAGTTAACTCAAGTATATACATTGTATAATAAATAATGCTTATAAAAAGAGACATTTTCTGAATATAAAATAAAAAAAAATCGACCTCTACAACTTTATACAAAACTTTGGATACAGCAGATTGATGGAAAAAGATCTTCCATTCAGTGCTAGAATACCTGGCTACAGTAAAATAATTACAAGGCAATAAATGTTCTATTTAATATTAAATACCTTTTCTTGATTAAAAAACAAACAAACAAATAAGGGATTTTGTTTAAAGTTGGATACTGGGAGTCTTTCCAGACGTGGGATTTAATATATACTTTAAATAGATGCATATCAGAGGACGGCGTGGCTCCGGCTGGGGAGGCTTCTGGAGCTCTCTGGGATTTTAATTTTTGGGAGCAAAGGCTCCTGTGAAGGAGGGTCTGGAGCTCGTCCTGGTGCTCTGCATGGGAGGGACCTGGGGTTCTGCTCTGCCTGAGGCCCCTCCCGAGCTCCCTGCCAGGGATTTCTCACCCCTTTATTGCTCTGTGCAGCTCCAGGGGCTGCTCATTCCCAGGAAAAGAGAGAGTGGAGCAGCAGCCACAGCCCAAGTGGCCACCATTCCCTGGAATTCACTGGCTGGGGTGTGTTTGAATGTGGCTGTTGGTCCTGGAGCCCACCAGGACAGAGGGAGTATTTATTTTTTAATTTCATGGGTCAGTACTCCTGGAGGAGGCAAACCCAGGGAGAGGGGATGTGCTCAGGGATGGGGGCACGGCCAGGAGAGCAGGGGGGGGACAAACACTGGGATGGGCCATGGGATGTGGGGGAGCCCAAACCCCTGCACAGAGCTGGGGGGATTTCCTGGATGATTGCTGACAGCTCAGTAAATCCCATGGGAGGGGAAGGGTCTGCCTGGCATTGTGCTCTGGGACCACAGCTGTCTGGTGGGAAGGCTGACAAGGAGGCTGGGACAGAGATTTCCTCTCTCCCTGGAATCTCTCATGTTCAGAGCTGCTGCAGCAGCTCACCTGGCAGGTAACCCATCCCCAGGGGGATCCCTGAGCTCCCTCTGGGCTGCAGAGTCACGTTAGGGAATGCTGAGTCAATTGGTGCTGCCCCGATCCTTAGGATCCTCTCCTGGGCAGCTGCACGGTGGGGAGGTGGCTGGGACGATGCTGTCCCCTGTACGAGGTGGCAGCAGTGCCCTGCTCTTGTCCTGGGCCAGGTGCCAGAGGGTCAGCTCTGGGCTCTGCCTTCCTGACATCCTCCTTGGGAGATTATGGGAGATGTGGGGAGCCGAGAGGGCAGAGGGGAGGGGGAAGGAGAGACCACCCGTGGGCTCTGATTGTGTGCTCAGACAGGTTTGGTTCTCCAGCATCACCTCGGAGCAGGAAGGAGGGAGCTGGGCTGGTGTGGGGGCTCCTTTCCTCTCCCCACTGCATCTGCTGAGAGCAGGACAGCAGCAGCTGGGGGAGCTTTCACTGGGAAAAATCCATTTCCACCTGAACCCCCGAGTTGGTTCTGCAGGGGCTGGACCAGAGCTGGGAGCTTGGGGGCTGCTGTGGCAGCAGCTCTGCCTCGTGTGGCTGTGTCTCACTGGGACTCAGCTGTCCCTGTCTCTGCTGTCCCCAGGCAGCCTGTCCTGTCCCTGCTCCTGTCCCTGCTCCTGTCCCTGCTCCTGTCCTGTCCCTGCTCCTGTCCCTGCTCCTGTCCTGTCCCTGTCCTGTCCCTGCTCCTGTCCCTGCTCCTGTCCTGTCCCTGCTCCTGTCCCTGCTCCTGTCCTGTCCCTGCTCCTGTCCTGTCCCTGCTCCTGTCCTGTCCCTGCTCCCCCTGTCCTGTCCCTGCTCCTGTCCTGTCCCTGCCCTCCCCAGGCAGCCCGTCCTGCTGCGGGCTCAGCAGTCACACCTCGTGCGGGTGAGGTTCCCAGAGCCTTCTCCACGCCCTGGGTGCCCTGGGTGTGTGCCCTGGCCGGGCCCATCAGGAGTTTTGTGCCGTCCTCTGTGGTGTGAGGCCACGTGTGGGGCTGACCATGGGTCTGGTGGACCCCTGGGCCCTGCTCGGGAGCAGCCTCCACCAGTGGAGACCCAGCTGTGCTTACTTGCAGGTGTGGACGTCGTAGACCCGCGTGCACTCCTGGCAGCTCACGTAGCAGCACCAGTGGAAGATGCAGTGACATTTCTCCTTGCGTTTCTCAGTCCGGGTGTTGTGGCCCCTCCCGCAGCACAGGAGGTCGCAGCCGTCGATGCCGTGGGAGGTGACGTTGCACGTTCTGTCCCTCGTCCCAAAGGAGCCCGTCTCCGGGTTGGGCTCACAGAAATTGGGGGAGTTCTCGTAGTAGACCAGGTCCCGCTCCGTCGGCGGCTTGAAAAGCGCGTACTTGGCCCTGAGAGTTTCTACCCAGCCCCGGGACTCGCGGTGCTTTTCCACCACCATCTCCGAGGCGCTGTCATATTTATCCTTCAGGTAGTCCCCGATGGCCCGGAAATCCGGCTGGGCCCACCAGCAGGTCTTGACCTCGCAGCTCCCCGAGAGCCCGTGGCACTTGCACTTGAGGTGCATGTGATCCAGGATGGTCTGTCCGGGGAAAACAGAGTCAGCAGCAGCCGGTGGAACACAGGCTCTGCTTTCCATCACTGCCTGTGCCACCTGAGAAATGTCTGATCTAAACTGGGAAGCCTTGCCTTCAGTTTTGGGGGCAGTTTTGGGCACCACACATAAAAAAGGCACTAAGCCACTAGAGAGTGTCCAAAGGAGGCCACAAGGATGGGGAAGGGTCGGGAGGGGCCTTATGAGGACACTTGGTTTGTTCAGCTGGAGGAGACTGAGGCTGGACTTCATTGAGGTCTTCAGCACCCTCATGAGGAGCAGTGGACAGTATTGATCTCTTCACTCTCCTGACCAGTGACAGGACCCAAGGCAATGTCTGGAGCTGTGCCAGGGGAGGAGATCAGGGAAAGGTTCTTCCCCCAGAGGTGCTGGCACTGCCCAGGCTCCCCAGGGAATGGTCCCGGCCCCGAGGCTGCCAGAGCTCCAGGAGAGCTTGGACAGCGCTCCAGGGATGCACAGGGTGGGGTTGTTGGGGGGGTCTGGGCAGGGCCAGGAGCTGGGCTGGATGATCCCTGAGGGTCCCTTCCAGCCCGGGATATTCTCTGGTTCTGTGACTGTGTAAGCATGGGCTGGCTGGAGATGCTGGGGAGCTTTAAAGATCTCCAGACATTTCACACTACAAAAGCATGGCTGAGGTGGGCAGCTGCTCTGATCATCCACCCCATCCAATCCAATCCAATCCAATCCAATCCAATCCAATCCAATCCAGTCTAACCCAATCCCAATGTCTGATCCTTTTGTGGGGGTCCTTCCTCTGCTATGTGTGTGGATGATCAGAGCCCAGAGAAGCTGAGGGCTGGAGATGTTTCTGAGCCCTGTGGATGGAGACTGATCCCTGTCCTCTCCTTGCTAATGACCCTTCATTTGTATCCCAAGTCCAACAGTTTGTACTAAAAAATGTGTGAAACTGGGAATCTACAGACAGGACTCTTCACCAAAATCTCCTTAGTGTGGAGCAAAATAATCACTGATTTTGGATAAAATTACCAGAGTTTGGTGGGGGATTTTTGTACTGGAAGCTGTCAGGTTTCTCTCCTTCCACCTCTGCCTGCTGTGCTGTGCAAAACCCATGTCAGTGTTAGCTTCAAGCACTGTTGGAAAGGTCTCATTGGGTTTGCAAATGACCCAGGGCAGGCAGAGGCCCAGGTACCTGCTGACTGCAGGAATGGGATGTGATGGGATGGTATGGGATGGAATATTCCAGCTGGATGGAGCTGTGACTGTCATCTCCTCCAAGGAATCATTGGGTGGGATAATGTTATAAGAAGGAACATGCAGGAAGGAGGCACTGGGAACAAAATCCTGTTCATCCAGTGCTGACCTGGGCTTGGGTTTCCACACATGGCCTTGGAAGGTGCTCAGGATGCCCAGGGAAACTGTGGCTGCCCCACCCATGGAAGTGTCCCAGGCCAGGTTGGACAGGGCTTGGAGCAACCTGGGATAGTGGAAGGTGTCCCTGCCTGTGCCAGGGGGGTGGAACAAAATGGGCTTTAAGGTCCCATCAACCCAAACCATTCTGGAAATCTGTTTGCACTGGAATCAAGGAATGTTTTAGCTCTTAACCCCACCTGTCTGTTTGGAGGGAGAGGAAATGCTGTGCCCTGGAATATAATCCTAGAAAGTCGCTGCCTGGGAATTCCTGTGGTCCCACTCCATCAGGAGGAGCTGACTGGGCCATCCATGCTGGACTGGCCACTCCTCCTGTCCCCACTGGACACTCACCGTCCGGCCGGCCTCGTTGTTGTGCCTGTTCATGGCCGAGCGCGCGTCCGGCCGGTTCTCCCGCGCGTCTGCGAATTCCCGGGACACCAGCACGCCGAAGTCGGCGTCCTCGCTGCACCCCCCCCATTTCCAGCCATCCCCTGGGGGTCCCTTGTGGTGGGAGTCACAGCCACAGATGGTGGAGGTGCCCTCGGCGCAGGAGCGGGTGACAGCGAAGGCCACCCCGGCCGAGGCGATGGCGTGGACGAAGGCGGATTCTCGTGTGGCTGCAGAGACACAGAGCCCGGGGGGTCATTGGTCAGTGCAACACTGGTGTTTTCCTTCCCAACCTCCCCCAGCAGCACCTAAACCTCGCTGAAAAGCAAAAGGTTATTTAGTTAATTTGTTAATGAGGGTTTCCTGGAGCGGGAGCTGCCAGTATTGCCCTTGGGCAGGAGTGGGGCAGGGATGTGACTCCAGCTCTGGGGGTCACACGTGCAGCAGTTCCCAAACAGGATCCAGGATTTCATCCAGCACGGCTGCTCAGGGGTGAGCAAGGCATCAGTAGCAGCTTGAGGGGGCCTCAGGAGAGAGTTACTGGAGTAATTCCTGGTCTGAGAAGCCAGAGAGGGGCTCCATGCCTGGGGTTAGAGAGGCTCATTGACCTGGGGGAAGGTGCAGGTCACACTGTGGGAGAACAGGCATTTGACCCTTGGCCTCAGCGGCTGCGCTGACTCTGGCTCTCCCAAGTGCTGTCAGTATCTCAGAACCAACCTTCTCCCTGGGGACACCTTTTGGCACAGAGCTCTGCACAAGTGCAGCTCCCTGGGCAGGGATGGGCTGCTTCAGCCCATCCATAGGGATGGAGACTTTGGGTCTCTAACCCAGAGCAGATGTTGGAGTCAATCCAACCTCGTGCTGATGTGCAGGAGACTGGGAGGGGCTGGAGGCCGGAGCTCAGGGGCTGCAGTGCCTGGGCTGGAGGGTTCTGACTGCCTCGTGGGTCTGCTGTGATCAGATCATCGGGACAGCTGTCAGTGGAAGTGGGATGAAGCCAGAAATTTCTGCTGAGAAAATCACCTTGGAGCCAGTCCCCTCCTTCCAGAGCAGGAGCCATGAACCATCTTCTCAGCTGTCCCCTGCATCCCTGCCCTGCTCCTGCCTGGTGCCCGGGGGCAGCAGGTCCCTCCCCCCAGCCTCGGTCTCTCTGCAGAGCTGGGTCTGGCTCCCAAAAGCCGGATTTCCCAAGCTGAGCTGGTGCCAGCCCGAGCAGGCTCTCAGGGGAGGTGGCTGTGGGTGGGCACCAGCTGTGGGAATGTGCAGCCCTGCCCGGGGAGCTCCCAAATGGGATCTCCACCCAGGGCTGCTCAGTCCTGCCTGTGCCGGCAGCACCTGCTGAGGTTTCAATCTCATTTCAGTTCAAACTCTTCCCTCCTTGCCCTTCCCTGTGCCAGCAGGGATCCAACCTCTACCTAGCAAGGTTTTCCTCGGGGATCTGTCTCCAGCTGCTTATACTGGGACCACTGGGGGCGGCGGGCACCGGCTGAAGGTCCCGGCTCCAAATGAGGTGTTTGAGCCTGACAAAGGCTCTTTGGGTGGCCCGTGATCCAAAGCAGATCAGATTAGAGGAGCCAGCGAGCCCTCCTGGCCCCAGCCCAGGACAGCCCGGGGACAGGGGCAGGACACGAGTCGCTCTCGGGCCCGATGTGGCTCCGAATTCCCCGGGAGGTGCGGATGGGCACAGGGAGCAGGGGCACTGCGGGGCCGGGCTGGGCTGGGACCGAACCGGGGCTGGGCTGGGACCGAACCCGGGCTGGGACCGAACCGGGGCTGGGCTGGGACCGAACCGGG